AGCAGTTTTGATACAAGGCTACAACAGAAGGAAAGATTTCCCTCTGACAGCAGATCGGTCTCTTCTTTGTTCCTTAATATTTCCTGTTGATTTCCTGCTCAGTGTCTGCCTTGTTTCGGTTTTCATGCAAGAAGTTCATGGTCTGGAATAAATGGCTCATGCTCAATCAGTTTACGATTCACATCTGGTTTGCCGCCTGTAGTGGGTCTGATCAACGTATGGTTGTAGCAGAACTTTGTCTAAACTTAGCCGTACCGCATCGACCACTGCTGGTTGAAACACAACAGCTGCTCGATGCTGGCAAACTAAAACATGGCAAAACAGCGCCGTCGCCCATTAGAAGAATGTAGACAGTTATTTAATGCCAACCTTGGCGCCCGGCTGAGAAGCAGCAACGTCAGTAAAACATAAAGACTCAAGGAAGCCGCAATTTCCTTGGGAAAAATGTAGTTCGGGTAGCGAAGAGAATAGCCTAAATGTCCTTGGTTCCAGAGAAGAACCCAGCCCTTAAGGCGCAAAGGAATCGGACAGAGACGTACTTACAACATCCTACTGCGCCATCGAAGGCTGCGCATGGATGTCTCATTCGCGCAGTCAACTAGGGCTACAGATCGGACAGCGAATTTAATTAGAAGCTGAAATCAGGATGATCCATCAGACAGACAGAGTGAGTTGCGAACAATGTTCAAACGGGTTGGACAATTGCCTCGGTAAGCGGGGGACTCAGTTTGAACTTCTCCAAGACGTTAAAGGTGTCCCATCTTTAGGTCAGAGCCAACATCTCGAATGACTGACTGAGCATTTGCTGTAGTTGTCCAACGGTTGCAACACAGATTAAAGTCACTTACGAACGTTAATTCTTGAGATTAGTATGGACCCAATCACAAAACTAGAAATCTAAAATGACATTCTGCACCTCAAGGTGAAGAAAGTCTGTGCGGTGAATCGAATTCCTCTAGGGTTAATAAAGTATGGAGGAACGGGAATGGCAGATAAACAGCATGCCAAATTTCATCAAATGTGGACCTACAAGCGCTTGTCAGATAAATGGAAGCATTGAGAAATTGTTCCGATATTTAAAGGGGTTCGGGTGAGAGAGGTTTTTAATTATTACTTTACTATCAACTCCCGGGTATCCTTACTGTTGGATTATACAGGAAAGAATGGAACAGGAAATTTATGGGCGAATCAAGCAGGCTTTAGAATGGGGTACTCTCCCTGACCGAATTTCCACTTTGCCTAAGGTCATTAAAGCAATGCCGCGATAGGAATTATCTTGGGTTTCCACTTTCCTCGGCATTAGAGCCACATTTGTTCATCGTTTGACGATGTGAAAATCTTGAAATGCAATGAGATACCTGAGCACATCATTGCCATTTTGAAAGAAATGTATGCAGAAACCATATCTGCAATCAAAGTTGAGGAAGAGTTATCTGAGTGTTTCCCCAAGATGTGGGAAAATGGAGATGTGCTTTCGCTTCTGCTGTTCAGCAATAATCTCGATTTTCTTTATTGAAACAGCAAGCAGCACTTGCCTTGGCAAAGATGCAGGTCTCGTTCTCGAAGAAAGCCGTCATTCAGGATATTCAGCTAGATATCTTGCTGATATGGAGTAGGCAGATGAACTGTCCTGATGTGACTGGTGCAGGATACGAGTTGTGTCACATGACGGTTCCAAAATCCAATACAGCTACAAAAGCTGGCCTTTTCCTTAACGTCCTGAAGTCAGGAATAGTGAGGAACTCATCGGAAACAACTGGCCTACAAATGGAGCAGGGAAGCGAAACTCTTGAGGAGGTCGACCAATTTAAATATCTCGACTCCATCTAGTTAAGCGATGGCGCTATCCAGTCAGAACTATAAATAACAGGAAAATCGGCATAGTCTGGAGTGCCTCTTCAGTATTGTTCTATACTTAATCTGAGAAATGAGTTACCCCTCCTACATAAATCCGTTTGTACCTTGCTTTGTCAGGCCAGTGTTGTTTTACGGCAGCTATTCTAACGAATCAAAAGGAACGGCGAAATGCGTACAGCATTTAATCCTCATATAATGAGGATTAAATGGCAGCAGAACGTCCAAAATGATTCTTTTCGTTTCCGGGCACAAATAGCCTAGGTAGGTGCAGAGATTTCAAAAAAATGGCCCTTTCAGATAGGCTGGATAAGCATTCAACATTTACTGCAACCCGTGAGCTTCTCGTGTGGTAGCCGAAACAAGGCAGATGTCTACCAGGAGGCCAGCATGCGATATTCAGCAACCATGGAGAAACAGCTCCACTTGCGTAGAGTAATAATTCCTTCTGCAATGCAGTAACCGGTGCCTTATAGCAAAAGTGTCGAGAAGCTGTGAATACAGCGTACATCAGAAACCAGAGATGTTCTGCTTATACAAACGGCTAAAGGTTATGATATCACAAAACACACAACATGCGCAGCTACAAAAACTGCCGTTCTGTTCATGCCGCCAATCTCGACCTGACCCCCTCCCGTCTGCATCAGCGTCCTTCCAACAGGATATCCTGATGCAATCAGGGGTTCCAGGCGGAAACGCTGCGAAGCATGCTCAGTCACTATGCGATAATACAGGGTCAAAATTACATGAAGAAATATATCGCAGCCGACCAAACAGCGCGGTGCAATGCAGAATCATTGCAGTATTGCCACGGGCTCCTCACAGGGAGATCCGCATCAATCGGACAATGTTTTTGGCGAGCTCCACATTGTGCAAGAATATTTCTATTTAAAACAACACTATCACAGCGACGATGACAATTTCAGACGTTGCTGTATCGTTTGGTAATGGATAGTCTTATTTCAGATAACATAAGAAAGGAAAATGCAGCTTTAATAACTATCACATAAATGAGCAAAGATACAACACGACGTTGACGTGGTCACTGTTTGGGTGCTTGGTTCGTGGAATAATGTAAATGATCGAGTCTCAAACAGTCTCCACGTAAAGTCTAACTGATAAAATCATTAAAACAGCATGGATGGCGACCTCACTTCCTGCTACAAGCTTCATAAAGGTTTCAGAAATTTCACAAACACCGCGGATACGTCAACAGCCAACAATAAACAATAAGCTAAAGGCGAAATTGAAGAACGAAGAGGTCAGAATAACGGGTCCGATACTCAAATAATTTTATTAAACATGCGTATGCTCGTGAATGATCAAATTCCTCACCACTGAACGGTGATTACTTTACGATGAGTTTTCGATGAAACAGATAGACGGTTCGTCAGGTAACATTTATTTTCGATTCAATAGTCGATTAATGGAAATAAAACTGTCAACGAAACGCCAGTCCGAATCTTCGCCGCTGCTTGTCAACAACACAAGTGCAGTCTGACCACGATGAGAAACTGCTAAGTAACAGCTTGACCTGTCATTTTCTGGCATTCAACCGCGCATTCCATGCCGGCCTCTCCTTTCAATCCGGTTGGACCTCTGACACCCATCGGCCCTGGTGAACCTCGTTTACCTGGATTTCCTTTCGAACCGTGAGATCCAGGTGCTCCCAAAGGTCCTGAAAATTTTTGCAGCTTGCATGAAAGACTGGATTCTACTGATTTTTACCCCGAAACGCATACGATTTGCCTGGTTCGCCACGAGCACCATCAGGGCCGCATGGTCCTGGTGGGCCCCTATCGCCTTTCTCGCCGATTCCACCATAAATCTACCAGAAGGACGCGTAGGTACACTTATGACACGTACTAAAACTTACGTCATCACCAGGAAGTCCTAGTGGACCAGGAGGTCCAGGGTCACCCTTCCTTCCTTTAGGCCCAGCGTCACCAACTGGTCCAGATTTGCCTGCATTTCCTGGAATGCCGCTGACTCCTTCGGGGCCTTGAGTTCCACACACTCCTTCATCGCCCTAACGAATAGTTAGTCACTAACACAGCATAAAAGATCAATCTTACCTGTAACCCACGAGGTCCGGGAGGTCCTGCAGGGCAAAATTGGCACGGATATGGCAATTGATCGATAACCATATCTAATCCAGAAAATCCTTGCTTACCGCGCTGGCCAGGCAGTCCTTTCAATCCATTTTGACCTATTCATTGCTTAGATAGAAGTATTGCGATGGTCGTAAAACTTACCTGGAAAGCCTTGAGGACCGGGTGCTCCTGGAGGGCATTGTAAGTCAACACAAACTAATAAAAAATTCGATAAATACGTTATAAATTTATTCAAACGCTTACAAGAGCATTTATCTTCAGTCTGTCGTTTTTCTCGAGGTGCGATGAGTACGCCAGTCTAGGAAAGTTAGAATGTGCGTCAGTCAACTTCGTATCATTTACCTTGAGGTCATGCATTCTGGCAGAGATATGCCCATCGTCGTGGTTCAATTTTAAACAAATAGAACCGGTTCCAAGCAGAAGAAAAATCAGGCTCAAACAGCATGCCGAAACAATCAACAAAGCGAGCCGTCGCTGGTCGTTATCCACAGCAAAGGTATCATCCATTGCGATGAAATGGACAACCGCGATGCGAAAGTTCGACGCTTAACTCACACTGGGACTCATGCAAGCGGCACGATGATCCAACTGCTTACGTCATAGTGACCCAGCTATTGTTCATTTGCCCTTAGTTACAAGAGTCGTAATAAAAGCAACTTCCAGAAGTAGGCTAAACCTTGTCATCTGTGAGAGCGGCGCGGACAGCGGCGGTCTTCCAGCATGACCAGCTATCGCAGTATGGCGCTATCCGTTGTCAAAGGAATTAGTGGCTAACTGTCTGTCCAGTCGAGCAATTTAGGCCTTGAACGAAATCACAACGTTTAAACAATCCAACCTGTATTGAGAAGGCTTGATACAGCAACGGAGCGAGGTGGCACAGTAGTGAAGAGCTCGGCTTCGAGCTCTGGAGGTGCCGGGTTCGACCCATAGAAATGGAGAAAATTTGTCTTGACTGCAAAGTCCCCTTGGCAAAGAATTTACCCATGTTGCTTCGCTTCAACCAATAGAAAAACGAATAGTAATTCACTGACTTGCAAACAATGAGGACAGTTTCTATACTGATGCTATGTTTTAGTACTGTTGTAATTTGATTCAATTCAGCTTACTTTGTCGGATTTTCATGGAAACTTATTTACATAGGTGGCAGCTATGGCGAAACCCTAGAAAAACCGTTCTGTCTGTATTCCATTTCGAATATAAGTATTTCAGCGCCGCTCCAAATGCGAGCCAAGTGGCATACAGCCAAAGCCTGAAAATTCTTTAGATCATCCTTTACCGAGTTCTCACTTCCAGTGAACTCCTCTACACGGCGACAAAATCAGACGGCGGATCACCATAGTAACATCCTTGCTGTCTTCACTTTGAGCACAGAAATCAGCTCCTTACGCACCTCCGGCATCGAGCTGAATCTAATTATGCGGACAACTGAACAACGACGAGACATATTTTGACAACGTGATAACCCAGAGTGTATTCACCCTCACACGTTTGTCATAAAGTGGCAAACCTTAAGAAAATCAGATGATCGCTCCCATACACAGGTATATGGTTCTCTCAAAGAGGGGGTGAAAATCCTCTGTGAAATAAAGAAAGCCTTTCTGGAGTGTGTTGCAGAATCCAGACACATCTATCACTGACGACAACTAATGAAAAGTAGGGAATGTAGCAACAGTTCAGAATTAGTATTTAATCCTGGACGCAATCACATGCGAGCTAGGTTTCGATCTGCAATGGAATGTACGGTACTCCATTAGACTTAGGTGACTAAACATTGCATATCATTGCAAAAATAAAAATTTCGAGACTCGTCTAAGTGCGAGTGTGGAACGGATAGCCAGACCAATAACAAAGGTTACTGCTAAATGTCCAGCCTACTGAACTGGTTTTGAAGTAGAAGAACACGAAGCTGCGCTTAAATGGCATTTAAATTTAAGCCGGTAACTATGCATTGCTCTTAAACGCCATAGGAAAGCAAGACACACAGTACTAATCCATTTGGTGTTAATATTCTGCCGGCTTTTTGCTTTTTTTCCTAGACAGTTGTTCTAATGCGTATAGACAGGTGAAACATATAATCGATCATATGATGCATCTTTTAGATTAAGGTCAATAAACATTGATGGTACCTTCGGCAGTAAGTTCACGGTGATAAAGCGCTTTTAAAAACCGATCTTCCTCACAAACGCGGTGCCTTGCTGCATTATCAATCACGCAAGTACCGGGTGTAGTTTACGAGTCAGACAGGTTTCGAACAGATCATTCGACCTGCCGATTCGCTGCATGCCGAAAGTGTGTACGTACGTACAGAAGAAAAACTGTCTGAGGCAAAGGTGACCGAAGGAATGACATGCTAACGCCGAACGACACAAAGATGCGATTTTCAAAAGTACCCACTGCGTTCACTACACAACATTATTCGACAATTTTCTCATTCGTCGCCCAAGAAGACAAGCCATTGTGTCAAAAATAAAGAGTAAATAAGCAGCTAGTAAGTTTCGCAAATGCATCGCAGTTTGTTTCTTTTTATTTGCCGTTGACCTCTTACTCAGCATTACATACCTTTCGTTCGTTAAATATACTACATGACTTCAATGCAAGTTAGAGTAGCCAATCGATTTAAATGTTGAACTTGCAGTCAAAATTATGTGAGTCCGAATTCTGGCCAAATTACTTTCTCCGTATTTTTTTTTGAGACTGAATGTAATAGCACAATGCATGAAAAACAGCGAAAGATTATACTCCAGAGTGACCACTTGCCTTTAGTTACTGTATTCAAAAATCAAGCTGGATAATTAGGAATGACATCGGAACGGAAATCATTTTCGCATCTTTCGCTTCATGAAAGAAATGTATGAAAAATTACCAATCCAAGTGCATAGGAATAGAAAGACAAGTATTCCAACGATGACTTTCTTTTCCTTTCTGCTGTATTACTATGGAGACAGTGTATTTCAGCGGATCTAGTCAATAAATAGTTTCAGTCACGTAGGAGCATCATCATTCTAGATTGTTATGTTCTTCAAACCTTCTTCACTCTAAGGTTGCAATGGCAGTCATTGGTGACAATTTATATTAAAAAAGAGTAAAATTAGACACAAGAAAATGATCAATCGGGTAAGTGACTGATGCTGACGTATCATCTCCTGTTTCACTGGTCTTCTTTAAGGCATGTCTATGGGGGAAGTTCCATGGCTACTTCGATCGTCTACAGCGGAGGGTTCACTTGCAGACGAGACCGAATATATGTCATAACTGTATAATTTAATATATAGTACATATGCAACATATAAGATCTTCAATTATAATTGTGAAGTTTATGAAGCTGAACTAACCAGTCATAGTGCAAGATTGATGTAAATCATTACAACGAGAGTAAAGCGATTCACCTTTCCTTTGCTTGCAGGCACCTTGGGACTGGATAATTCAAACAATGGAAAACTAAATGCTACCCAGTATTTCATAGGATGCTTGCACACCATCTTGGAGATAAAACAATAAAACGTCTTGCTCGCCAACTTACAGTTAAGGTGGCAAAATGAGTGGTTTCATTGAGTACAATATGATTGATTTTCAACTCTCTTCTGCCACGAGAAAGAGTAAAAAATGTGTCAAGGCACCTGAGCCGAAATGTAACTTACAGCGAAAAAATTAAACCTGGCTAATGCCATTCAATATTGATGAAATAGATTCCGTTAAGAACGAACATATTGTTTACTAAGAACACACTGCTAGTTCAACGTAAAATGTCTCTAACAAATTCAAGAAGGCGATTCTGTAAGAGACTATCAGGAAACAGAGACAAGGAAAAAGATTCAACCAAAAACATTTATTTCAAGTTCGCTTTGCGGTGAGACTTAAATTTGTCAAAGTTCACTACTTTTCATAATTATATTCGGTTGTTCATTGCCATTATATCAAAGAAAATTAAAGCAATCTGGGTTTATTTGCAAATCTACAATGCGTTGTCTTTATTTCGCTAAAATTTTATTTCTTTTAAGTACTATGTTTCAGAGTAGCGATAGGTAAGAGATAGCTCAATTACCTATATATCTACCGTACCATTATATTTGTGTCAGCGTATTTGTACCTGTGAATCATATATTTCATCGTATTCCACTTTCGTCAGGTTTGTTCGCGTTTGCTATAAACAATTTTTCGGAGGCCGTTTCTGCTACTGCGGGTCTGTCGCTCCAACAGTTATGTATGCGCTGCTTTTGGTCTGTTTGGTAGTTGGGTTCGTATCGCTTACAAGTAGGTGCCGATTCTTTTGTACAAGATGCTTGCATTCGCTTGAATTTAGATGCAGAGGATTCGTTGGAGGTAGTCAAAGAAAATGCCAAGTTCAAAGGAAACTTTCTCTATGGAGGAAGGGGCGAAAAGTTTAAGCTGGCTTGTGTTGCACCAGCTGATCTACCCCGGAAAGATCGCAGCAATTTGATTTGGTTTGAGAAAGATCGAAACGTATGCGGCGAAAAATTGTGCGAGGCCGTTGAGCAGAAGTACAAACATTCTGCACGGGTTATCGAATGGACATTGAAAGAAGATACGGTACTAACCTGTGCGTACATTGCCGAACCGACACAGTGGAAGAATGTTTCTGTCCACGTTTTCGCCGATTCAGGTACTCATTTTACGTTAAGTACCGTTCTGCGAAACATACAGCGTCTGACATGTTTGTTTCGATGAAACACTCCAGAAACAATAATTAAAAGGTCAGCCGAATGAAAGGGCTGTAAGCTTCGGTTTCGTTTCACTTTGGGTCGCATTCTTAGTAGTTATAAGCGTCGCGCGTTCACAGTCGTG